AAGGATCTGAAAAAACGAAGAGCACAGTATTCACCATTATCTACCATTTTCATATTTTGTATATCCAAAATAAAATAACCTTTCCAATTATCCTATGTACTCCAAATGTAACCGATTAGCCAGTATTCCTCTGAACCCACCAACATCGACTACATGACAGGCCAAGCGTAAACAACGACATGTGGCCGAAGTTATCATATGAATAAAATGCTTATATACAGACATCTATTTCATCATGCTAGTTACTACGGTCAACTACTGTAGAGAATTCTCCTAAGCAGAGGACCCAGTGCTGCCGTCCAGCGCGGACGCATATATTTCCAGAAATACGCACAGTCATGCCGGTCGCAGAGCGGTGTTTTTGAAAAAGGATGTAAAAAATACCATCATCTAATATACAATATAAAAAAGCAGCTCCTGCCACAATAGCGTCGAAGCTGCCGCGGCCACGTATATCCACCTACCTAAACAGTAGAATAGATACAACCAAGAAAACCTTGTCAAGCTCGCAAGATACGGACAAGAATAACAATTCAAGAATTGCCAAAAAAAACTATAATTATAATTTGTGTGAAGTAACATATTTATACAACTTTTAATTAATTCAATTAATTTAAAAACTTACAAAACTGAACACAAAAATTTAGGAAATATAGTAGTGTATCTATCACATCACTCGAAATTTAATAAGGTCATTTAGTATTTCTTCAATCAACAGAAAAGAGTAAAGTAGAGCGGAGCTTAAAGGTACACTGAAAAAAAATCCACCATCATTATCTCAAAAACAAGCAAAATATAGATTTTTTTAGTGATATTTTAATTTTAAAGTGAAAAGTTAAAGAGGTGTAACTAGCATCACCTTAAATATTGCCAAAAACGCTACCAGAAGATAATCGAAAATGTATCATTAAATCAATGATTCAATGTATTATGTATCAATATTTTTGGTTTTGAGTTCTGGTATTTAGTTTATGATACTGAATATAATTTTTAGGTATACGCTATTCAAATGTTTTATAAGATGGATTTATATTTTTTGGTTTTGAGTTCTTGTATTTAGTTTATGATACTGAATATAATTTTTAGGTATACGCTATTCAAATGTTTTATAAGATGAATTGTTAGTTTTAAGTTAGATTCAACAGATTTTTATATAACCTCTAAAAAAGCTTACAAAAGGATAAAAAGGACCAACTAAAACTTTACATATGTAAACAATAATAAATAAGTAATATAAAAGTTAATTAAGTTAAAAAAGTATTTAAGGTAATAGTTATTCGTACTTTACAGATACATATTCTTTCAAAATACGAGATCGAAGTTATATACAATGAAACCTTTATAAAAAATGTTCCCATAAAATTTGTATTTTACATTGGTTAAATAATGTAGCTATTATTCCAAAAAATCGCTTTAAAATTAAAAAATGACGTTGAATCTATTTGTCCCCTGTCTGTCCTTTCTTACTCTGCTAATCTGGCAAAAAGCAATAAATAACTAGTTTAGACAAATAGTAAAACAACATTTTTTATAATTAGAAGTTAACTAGGAATTTTTCTGAGCTATGCTCCGTAGTTATTTGTTTGATATATGTTATGTGTTTTTATCTAGTTCATTTAGATTACACAGTATCAGTATAACTGAAAGTTAAATTGTACCTTAGTGCTCCCGCCCTACCCTAAAATCTATAAAAAAAATTTATTTTGGATTTAATTTTATACATATTAGTCTTTCTAAAAGGATAGCTATAAAAATAATAGATTGATATAAAATAATAAAAAATAAAGACTTTCAAAATATATTCTCATACTACAATGGCAAAGTCTCGACTTTGTAAACAAACTTTTTACTTGTAAATATAGATGCATAATATGTTTGAAAGCAAAAATAGCCTTTTCGGGCATAATGGGAAAAAAGTTAAGTCAAAAATACTAATTTAAAGTATGTAAATATATATTATCTACTAGAAATGACAACTAACAGGTTGCCTTTTAATAGCCATCTGTAGAAAATAAAAAAAAAACATTTGCTAATTAAGTTCATGAATTATAAAGATTGTAATGCATTCATATAAAAATACTAAAACTTACAACGTTATACTTGTTTATTCACATAATGTATATCAAAGAGTATAAAATATTAATAATTTGTGTCGGCATTCAAGATATATAAGATGTGAGAAATATCATAAATTATTATCTTAAAAGGATTTTAAACGAATTGGAACCAAAATTATCATACTTGACACATTTGTTGTAAACACTTTTAGATCAGATAAATATTGCTTTAGAAAATCTCAAATCTCAAAAAGCTTTTTATTGAGCTCTATTCATTTATTCGAGTTTTATAATTTCTATTAAAAAGATTTTGCTTAGTAATTGTATATAGAGTAAAAAAGCGTTGTATATAGAGTAAAAAAGCACACTTATGTGTATATGTTTTATATATTACTGATTAAAGTCTAAACAATTTCTATCAATATTTATTATACCACTGATCAACATTGCACAATTTTATAGGAACCTAAGTCAATTGTAAATTATTAGTAGTTAGTCATTATATATTTTTCTGATAATTGAATGAATGTATTGTAAAAAAGAACAAACCCCAAAACTAAAATTCTCTGAACCAAAATGATATTTATCGTTGAGATTATTTCATACCATGAACCACCGCACCGGCCCCAGAATCTTTGGCGTCTATAGTGTTCATTATATCCCACGCATACGTCCCGCACTAGACGTAGAGCAAGAGCAACATCACATTCAAGAGATGCCGAGATTAAAAAGAGTTTATTGAGCATGTCAAATATTTGTAGGTAGTCCTCTCGTGCATGAAATTAATTAATCAAATTTCAATCGTAATGACTGATAATGAAACGATGGGCTATTGACAGTGGCCGTGTTTAACAGTATACAATAGAAGAGAATTAAAAAACGAAAGCTTGTATTGAGCCGCATACCAATTATCATTGTAATTAGGTAGAACGATTTAATCACATAACAAATTATATATGTTTACTATTTATTAGTTTTATTGATGATCTTTTGCAACCTAATTGATAAAGTAATAGCTACTAAATTAATTAAAGTGATTGAGTATAATTTTTTTTATTACGTGCACAATTGACAATTTATTATACAAACATTTGTATAAATATTGCGTTATTATATAAAATAAATTAAATTGCTCATCACATATTAACTTTTCGTAGGCTAAGTTATAGTAATCATATCTCTACATTTCAAAGCCTTCTGAATATTTTGGCATACCTTAAAAAATTGACATATGTGTGTGTATGTATATGTGTGTATTTGTGTGTGTGTGTGTTCTGACGATTTTAAGAACACGGATTAACCGATTTGAATGATTCAAAGACAGTCCGGCTGTTTCGAAGATACGGGGCAAAAAGTGCTAAATGGCAATTCAGTTGAATGAACAAAGCGGTTGATTTGAACAATTTGAACAATTTGAAAACATTTCATTTGTATTCACGAAATGAAAAATTGATAAAATTTTTGTGAAAGTAGATTCATCAATTTTGGAGATACAATAAAAAATTTAAAAAAAATATTTGGCGGTCAAAAATGATCATTAGACATATGCACATCAAATTATCAAATATTTTATAGAGATTTTAATAATAAGTACAAATTTTGTTTACATTTCTATTGGTTCCGTACCAAGAATTATAATGTATAATCGTTAGACTACGTTTGATATTTTGTGTCAAAATATGCTACGAAGCGTGATTGGTATGAAAAAAATTCAAAATTTTCAAAAATATTCAAAATATATTCAGAATATCAAAATATTCATAAATTTCGAAATTCTCAAAAATCTAATTCAAATTTTCAAAGTTATAAAGCTTATTTAAAAAATTTAATTTGCGGTACGGGAAGAACTAGCAATTTGCCTTAAAGCAGAATGCCATACACCCCTAGTTTTATAGGTTTCATTATCTCTAATTCATACTATTACTAATATTAGCACTCTTTCAATAAACAATTAATTTGACAAAGCAATTTCAGTTAAATAAGAGCATAATGCGCATTTGATTGCTGTATTATCACAAAACGCCTACATTATTAATGAAATTTCAAGCGACTATTGTGCGAAATCCCGTTCGAATTCGGAACTCCGTGGAAAAAGAATAGTATTTCGTTCACACACACGCCATGTTACTCAAAAAATGAGTCAGTCACAAAACTGTTAAGGGATTTCAAATGCACATGGGAGTATTCCCAACGAGGGTGAAATATAGGGGCGCGAACAGAATTCAAAACGCATATCTTTAACATATTCGGTCCCATGAGAGCGACGGAGACCCTACATGTACGACTGCTCGAGGGACAGAGCTGTAGACATTCTATAGCGAACACTGCAGAACGGAACGAAGGAAAGTGCGATGGCGCGCTCGATGCAAGCAGGAACGAGACGGCGCAAGCGGCCGAGCCGCGAAGGGCGGAGTTTCGATGATATTTTTTCATTATTTCAACTGCGTCCTTGTCGTTCATGTTACAAACGATCCGGAGGAGGTGAAAGGCACGACTCACTGCAAGGCGTAAGCTTCATCATTGCGCGCCGACTCTCCCACAGATGCCTGTTAGCTCGTTTGCGTCGCACATCGCCCGAGTAGCATGAAAGAGATAATACAACCTATGAACGTGAGTGCTTCAACGCTTTATCAACAGCGAACCGTACGATCGCGAGTCGTCGCACTGATTCTCTCGTGACACTTCATTCGCGAAACCCAGGCCGCGCACAATCGGCGGCCGAACGTGTATTCGTGACGGTCTCTAAACAAGACTCTCACGCGAACCGCGGAATCGCGCGCGATACGTTTTATTAGTTCGATTCGTATCTTCATCGACGACATACGATAAAGGATTTATAGTGGTGTATAAACAAAGTGATGTGTATAGTGTTTAGTGCCGACGCGTATGTGTAGATAATAAGTGCTAAAAACGTTTTGACAACCGAGCATGAGCTCGTTTCTAATGAACCCGGTGTCAACCGGGGGAGGAGGTCTTCCGTATCAACAACCGCAACATCATCAATTGACCGTTGTTGACCCAAAATTTCCACCAAACGAAGAATATAGTCAAAGTAATTATATCCAACCCGGAGGCGAACCATTTTCCGGCCATCTACATCACCATCACCATCTCAATCAGCATCATCTCCAATATGGATATCACCATAATCCTGCGCATCACCACCAGAATGCTTATGGCATGCAGGTCAATGGTGGCTACGCGCCTTACGGATACGGTTACCACAGCACCCCAACGCATCATCATCAACTACACCAGCACCATCAGCAACATCAACCGACGCAGCTGCGAAATGCTGGCAATAGTCTGCAGCAACACCCTGATGCAGCAGCATGTAGTCCGGTGAGCGCGCAGCATGAATGCAGCAGCAGCGCGTCGCCTCCGGGTCCAGCGGTCGGCGCCACCATACCTTTGCAGGAACTCGGCATGCGGCTTGATAGGCGCATCGAGGAAGCAGCGCCGACGGGACAGCAGCTGCAGGAACTGGGAATGCATTTGGAGGATCCCCCGTCGGATCAGGACGATCTGGATGATGATCGGCTCATGATGGACGGATCGCCTGCCATGGATGATGACGATGATCACGATGACTCCGAAAATGGAGACCGTGTAATATACCCGTGGATGAAGAAAATACATGTTGCTGGAGTTGGTGAGTTATACTAATATAGACCATTGTAGATTATATAGCAATTATCGTAACGCAGCATCAAATCAACAGGCAAAACCTATAAAATTTGGTAATATCATGTTCTCACGAGATTAAGCATTCTAATATAATAATTCAGAAAATATTTTCTTACAATACGTTTAATTTCGATTGTAGAAGAATCTATTACAAATTAGCAATACACATTGTTAAATTATACATACATACATATACACACATATATATACAAATATAATTAAATCGAAAATCCTCTAAATTCCCCTAAGACGATACATTCACATTTATAACAATCTAAAAATTCAAAACACCACTCAGAACCGTAAAAAATTGCTGGATGCGTGAACGATTCTATCTATTGATTACATATAGCATTCAAAACATATCTCATCCTATTTTGCACCTTGTCAGGTGAATCAATCACATGTCCGTCTTGAATAATGTTAGTTGTCACAACAGGCGTTACTTTAAATGTGGGTTTTTAAGGTAAAATATTGGTCCGAATATTGAATTGAAATTTATTAATGAGATGGCCATTAGTCCGCTCTTCAGGTTATTGTCGGTTCCACTGTGCCGCATTAGCGTTGAATATAGACGAATGTCTATTGTCCGTCAGCGTCAATAATTTAGGCTAATCGAAGCATTATAACAAAAAATCGAATGGGTACACAAAAGAATGGGCCTGACAACATAACAGAATATAGCCCCAGAGTCTGGTTAAGTTGGAAGGTACATATAACGAAAAATGTTGTTTTAACAGAGATAAGATAAATTTGATGGTCCATTGTCAAGGCGTGCATCGTATTTATCAAACTCGGATGCATGTTCCCACTGTGTTGTTATCCTTGATGGTGCTTTAATACACGTTCCTGAGAATTTGTTAGCCATTATTTCTCTTTTATTTGTGAAGTGTTCACATCAATCTATGTGCTCTTGACGCTTTGTGTGGCATTTGTCCCTGACGATTGCCGGTGAAGTTTGTTTGGTGTTTTTTTTGTTCTCTGCAAATGTGGCTCATTTTGAGGTAAACATTTGCGATAATGGTGGTACTTTAAAATGCAAGGTCAATGGGGCGTTTTACACATGCGTATATTTTCTGACTATTATCACAAAGGAACCCAAACTCATTAAGTCAAGTACATAATAATGGCGAACTAGTTAGAAACAAATTGGTTTTTATTACTTAGTTTGTAAAGTTTAGGTTTTACAACAGAATATTTATGCATCAATCAATAAAAAAAAAACAATAAAAGAGTTTAATATAGAACAGCCAAACGCAAAAACGTTTAAAAAACAAAATATTGAAGGTCTGTTATACAAGTTATTATAGATTTTATTCGGGTAGATCAACTCAAGTATTACTGAAAATTTATGTAATTTTAACTTTTTAATGAACGATTGAAAACATTTGAAAATTATTAGTTAAGATAATTTGACAAATCAGAAAAGGTTTTGCATTTTACTGTTCAAATAAACTAATTTTATACTCTTTTAATAAGTTTAAGTTTTTTATTACACTCTTTTATTAAGTTTATTACATAAATATTATATTGTGAATTTGAAGGTTAAATTAAATTAAATAAAAAAAGCCAAAGAAGATTTGGAACGAACAAATCAAAACTTTTAATCATCATTGATTATACAGAGAAATAAAATCTAATGCTGACTTTAAAATAAATAATAAAATTTTATTAATAAATTAACCCAAATATTGAAAATCTATTCTATATTATATATTCCATCAGTTATTATACTACTGAAAATTATAAAATTTATACTTTTAAATAAACGAATGTAAACATTTTAAAATTACTAAGATAACTTGATCAATTATAAACTTGTATAAACGCTCAAGAACGTTTTGCGGCTTACTTTACAAATAACACAAATTAATAAAAAAAATATGTAATTAATCGCAAATTGATACATATTTTTTGGCAACATGCAAAAAGTTACGATAGATCCGAGGCATGGACATCATATATTTATCTATTACCAAATTTCGAAATTATCCTTTCATTGTTCTAAATCATCTAAAATACAATAATTAACAATGTTGCATGTAAATGGTGTAAATAAAGTTAATAAAGGTGCAACTTAAATGCGCAAAAATTTTATTTGCATTGAAACAGAAAAATAGTGTTTTAAAATTACTTTATAATTGATAAAAAGAAAGATGGTAGTTCTTTCGCAGTATGTGTAATATTACAAAATTATTATTTTCGAAGAGCTTCCTAGTTAAAGCATGTATCCGTATACATGTATTTGTTTCCACGAAGCGTATGATTGATGTGCGATCTACAAGTTTAATACTAAATGTGCAATTATGATTAATTTTAAATTAATTATTAAATAAAGCATATTACAATATTCAATTACTAAGTACATTTACATCAAGTACTAACGCACATTTAACATATATCTACGTAACAACCACATCTTATTGTTAGATGCAATAACTGGCGGACATGGATTCATTTATAACAAGCGGCAATTTGTATATAATATATAGCTGCTATAAATATACTAACTAATGCACAGTAATGATAGCATAATTATACTTAATATAATTGATATATATCACAAATGATTTAGTTGATGTTTATAAATAAACGAGCGGTTCTGTAAATGCAGCTTTTAAAAACATATTAGTGCAATATTGTTTTTTTGCAACTTAAACAATTACATTATACATTCATAACATGAGTTTTGGAAAATTATGTGATTATATCTCTCGGAACTATTTTCATGCCACGTGCTAAAATATGCCAAATAAAGGGCAACTCGTTGGATTGAATTCCTTTTCACTGAAAATTCAAGGGCCAATTATCCGATGAAAATTGTTATGTCACATAGCGTTGTTATGGCGACGCTATGTTACGGTCCAATCTTCATATAAATTGGTAGTAAAAACTGTCAAAATGCTTTGTTAAGGTCTATTTTTTATCGGAGAATCAGCCCTTATGTCTCATAAAACTATATTGATGTAAAATTGTAGAATATATCGATTAAATAGCAACTTATTATTTGTTACAAACATTGAAATTAAATTGAAGTATTTTTCATATGACTGAAAATTGAGCCATAAAATATAAAAACAATTGAGCTTTCAATTAGAAACAACATTTTCGTTTACATTCTGAATGTTACCCATAATTCGAATTGAGTCGATTAGCAATTATTGACGAACCTCTTAATATCTTAAGCATTAAGCTAAAATTTATGAATTATTATATACCTTATCTTATTTTACATAAAGTGCAAATGCCTGAGATAATCAAGTTATTTACGGTTAATCTAACGATAATTCATAGTGAATTTGCATATTTTTGCATGTATCACAAATGATTTATTAATATCAATCAGTAGCATTAATGTGTTTTTATTATTTATTGGACATTTAAATTTAATTTAAGGGGGTTTTATAGTCTAGAAGTTTCAAGAAAAAAAATATTTTTTTATATTTTTGTTTAACTATTTAAGAATATCTTTTTGATTTTTTTTTTATTTTTGGAGACCACAATAATCCTCCGCAAACTTTGAACGCGTTTTTCTCAAAACTGCTTTTTTTGATACCATTCCCACGATTTCTCAACTTCTACTACACCGATTTATTTAAAATTATCGTCTTCTTTATAGACTTCTCATCAGTATCGCTTATCCTTAAATTCCGATTTTTACTATTTTTGAAAATTCTATATCAAAAAAAGTTAAAAAAAAAGTTTCAGGCAGTCGCTATTTTGTGGAAAAACAATTTTAACATGTCCGTAGTTCATACAAATGCGACATTTCTCTAAATCAATAATTTTCTTATCGGATTATTTGGAGGGCTAAAAACAGAAGTATGAGACGTGCCCCAATTTCTTAAGACACAGTCCTTCGTTACTTTCCAGTATAAAAACTTTTTCGCTTTTTTTTACTTTTGAATTTTTTCTGTATAATTAAACATTAATTAAACAGATTAACTAATTGGATATTACAAATATTGTTTGCGTTTTTTACGGATTTTCAAACATGGCATAAAATTCATGCTCTTGGACTAGAATAGCGCCTTAAGTATTTAAAAAATAATGATCAAAATACACAATTTTCTCGAATAAACTGTTGACTATTATTTGTTTTTTTGAATAGTTTTATTGCAGTAATAATACAACTTTAGTTGTTTATTTACTGCAATAAAATTAAATGTTATCCTCTTATCGTCATTAATAGAAACTTTAATACAATTTGCAATGCTTAATACCACAGTTTTACATATTTAGTTGATAAACTTTTTATCTTACTTTTGTAGAGAATGATTAAAAAACTGCTTTATAAAAAAATTTAGTCAATCCACACTTTTGTAGTCTTAAATCTTAAATCAGTTTTCGGCGCAAAACATTTTTTTTTATGTTATAATGATAACACCATTGACATCAAAATTGTGGAAAATACTTAATAAAAATTGAACGTAAATACAGAAAATATAAATCTAAATATTGCACATAAGTTACGATTACAATAAACGTTATTTATACTATTATATTTAATAATTTACTATTTGAAAAGTATATTCCTTGCCACATAAAAATTGAGTTCAGATGATAGCATAATTAAGTAATGCACAAAAAAATGCACTATGCGAAAAACGAGAACCATAATTTTTAATGTACTTAAAATTATAAAATTGTATTTATTTCTTAAAAATTTACAAACTAAATAATGATTACCCTGCAATAATAATATGTACTTAGTAATAATAGCTACTATGGTTTTCATGTAACATTAAAGATGGAGGTAAAATTTGGGTTAGATTTTTGCAGAAGAACTTACCACGTTGAATGTGTATATAAATCAAAGATTTTTAATTTATACAACGCTTTACATCCGTCAAATATGTATATAACAAAGTGTGAGTCAAATCGCATCCACATTGCTTTAAATTTTTTTCGAGTAGCTTTTTCAATCGTTTTGATTCTGTATATTGCAATAAAACCATCATCTGCAAATGACTCATTAA